TCCTCCCCGCGGGCTCCCCTGCCGCTCCCCCAGTTCCCCCTCCTCCCCCTCTCCCTCCTCCCCGCCCCTCGCCCCGCCCAGCGCCGCGCTGGCGGCCTCAGGTGACAGCTCACCTGCGCGCCTCCAATGCACCTGGGCAGAAAAAAAGAGTTCGCTCGCCTTTTCAATCGACCCCAAACAAGGCCTCTGTGGTTGGAGTTACGTGAGAGGAGGTTCAGGGGGTGAGCAGGAGCCGGAAGGCACTGGGTCCTTCCTACATGAGGGCAGCATAGACACTAAAAGCCCGCCAGACGGCAACAGCCTCCAACCTCAAAGTTCTCAAAAATCTCCGTGCCTCCATAGCCCCGGCTTTCTGTTGCTACATGCCTGATGGCTTCCACTCCTGGTGTGTGGCATCGCCAGAGGGCTCTGAAAGAGGGTTATTTAACAATTAAACCCCAGATGATGGGGTGAGTTTGCCTCCTGACAGATGGTTACTGTGAGTTCAGGAGAGCTGCTTTCCACACTTCTAATTCTCCGGCCAGGGTCCGTTTTCTCTCCATCGTGGACCTGTTGCCTCGTGGTACCTGGATCTTCTCTTTCTATCTGACTTTAAAGCGGGGCTCAGCCCTATGGCTCACACCTTGCTGATTGATCTATGGAAAACACCTACAGGCTTCTGCTTTAAGGGTTTATTGCTAGTGGAAAGACATGGGAAGACTAAAGGTGAGTCCTAAAGCTGGTAAAATCTCAGTGATAATTAAGTAAAAGATTAAAGCAGGACAAAGTTCCCTGAATGTGTGGTTCATGTTAGGGAAAGTTTGATTAGAGAATGAGGGGAATTACATTTAAAAGCTATTGCTATCCCTTGCCTTCCGTCATGACCTTGCTGAGATAGGCCGTGGATGCTATCCTGGGCTTCTCCCCCCAAATGTTCTTTCCTCCAGATTCTCAAATCATACCCCAAATCGATCTCAGGGCTGAACACCTCACATAAGTTATCTTACCTGGCCTTCAAGACAACCTGTAATTCAATACATGGTTTGCAGATACTTTCTCCCATTTTATAGGTTGCCCTTTTATTTTGTTAATGTTTTCAACATTGTACAGATAAGAGCCTGAGACTCAGAGGCAGTGTGGCCAAAGCAGGCACAGACAGCGACCAGAGGCAGGGCTGAGCCTGGCACTGAGGCACCTGGGCTCAAGCCGATCCCCTCCGGAGCCTCACTCCCGGCAGACCCGCTCAGAATGCAGCAGTGGTGTCAGCAATGTTTACTCAGAACATTCACTGTCTCAGTGGGATAACTTGAATTTTTGAGTCTTGACTCCCTATCTCATCTTTGCTCCCCTACATGAGGTCAGCAAGGAGGCCAACCCCATCGAGGCCCCAGAGGCCCTATAACTCAAGATGTTTCACTGTGAAGAGGGCTTCCCTGGCCTAAGCCTGACAGGGCCTTTAGATTCAAAATCTGCTGTCTTCGTGTTATCCTAAAACTACAAGACCAAAGGGAAAGGCAATGAGCATTTATTTGTGACCCAAAAGAATAGCTTTGCAGGAAACACTGATTCAGGTAGAAGCCCAAATAGTGTCCCCAATAGGAAGTGAATGCAAGGGATAGTTATGGGAAAAGGGAAGGGAACAATTGCATGAATAGGAGGAAGAAATAGAAGGTGCAGAGAGGCTACATAGTGACGCTCATTCTAAAGAATGTCTTTAATTTTCAGTTCTAGTTACAACAAATAGTTGTTTGGGATACAGTGCTGCTTAGGCCCAGTCTGAAGGTGGCTTCGCCCAGTTTCAACATTCCAAAGGCTTGAGGAGTAAGACATGCAAGGCTGTTCCACTGTGATGGCAGCTTTGATTTTATTTTATTTTTTTAAAATATATTTTATTGATTTTTTTACAGAGAGGAAGGGAGAGGGATAGAGAGTTAGAGACATCGATAAGAGAGAAACACCGACCAGCTGCCTCCTGCACACCTCCTACTGGGGATGTGCCCATAACCAAGGTACATGCCCTTGACCGGAATCAAAACCGGGACCCTTGAGTCCGCAGGCCAACGCTCTATCCTCTGAGCCAAACCGGTTTGGCGGGAGCTTGATTTTAAAGTGGCTCCATTGATGTTATTTCTCACGGTTGGCAGAAGCCAGGGTGCACGGTGTGTTGTATGTTTCAGATTTGGTCATCCCTGAGCCGGTGCACACAATTCTTGTGTGTGTGTGTATGTGTACTGACTCACGACACAATGCCCTGGTATTATAGGTCAACTTGATTTATGAGTTTCACTTCTCAAATCACTCCATAGTTGCATGGTAACAGAAGATATAAAACATGCAGTAAAGGCCACTCGGGAGTCCACCGGGAGAAGAAGAAATTAGGCACATGATAACAGTCAAATGATGCCATTCTAGAAAATGTTAATTTTCTAGAAATTAAGAGAGATCAAGCTATGAGTTTAAAACAATAAAGGAAGAAAAGGCCATCAAGGGAGTTTTGTAAGGAAGTCTTTCTTTCCGATCATAATGGTAACCTAGTTAAATGTTAACTAAACTAAAGATAAATGGAATGGGGAGGAGGAACTCCTGGGTTTCTCATTTTGTTAGTCTTATTAAATACAAGACACGTCAGCAGAGTGGGCTGATGGTTATCACTGCTATACCACAAGAAATAAAGGGTATGGAATGCAGATACACCTTGTTAATCGGGAAGCTACAATCGCCACTAAACATGCAGTAGATGTCAGTGTGATGGGTGTCGAGTAAAACTGAAAGTCTTTGGTTTTTAAATTCCATATATAAGTGAAACCACACAGTATTTGTCTTTGTCTGACTTATGTCTCTTAGCATAATACCCGCTGGGTCCATCTATATTGTTGCAAATGGCAAGATTTCATTTTTATTTTATTTTTACTGCTATGTAATCAAACAAACAAAACAAAAACAGACTCATAGAAACAGGGACCACAGGGATGGTTGCCCTACTGTGATAGGTTTATACAATAAAAGGTGATTACTGGAATTAGTGGGCTGATCGCATGGTAAGGTATACAAAAGTTCAATCACTATATTGTACACCTGAAACTAATATAACTAATATAATATTGTACAGAAACTATACTTAAACCAAAAATAATAAATTTAATGATTTTTCCATTTTAAATAAAGACTGAGAGACTTTATTTAAAAGTCGATGAAGAGAGCTGAGCAGGTTGGCATGGTAGCTTCATGGCTCCAGCAAGCTATTCTCCAGCAGTGCAAGCCACACATGAAGCCCAAGAAACAAGCAGATTGCCTGGCTGGCATGGCTCAGCAGTTGGGCATCAACCTGTGAACCAGGAGGTCATGGTTCAATTCCCAGTCAGGGTACATGCCTGGGTTGTGAGCTTGATCCAGATGTGCAGGGGGCAGTCAATCAATGATTCTCTCATCATTGATGTTTCTATCTCTCTCTCCCTCCCCTCTCCCTTCCTCTCTGAAATCAATAAAAATATATCTATATATATAAAAGGCTAAGCAACAGACCAACCAGCCAACCAGCCGACTAGCTGGTAGGTATGACACACACTGACCACCAGGGGGCAGATGCTCAATGCAGGAGCTGCCAAGCAACAGCAACTTTGCAGAGTGCCCTCTCGCACTCCAGAGCCCATCAGGGGATATCGGACTGCCAGTTTCAGCTGGATCCCTACAGGCCAGGCCAAGGAACCCCACCTGCTGGAGCGACCCCACTCACTCCCTCACTCTGCAGATGCCCTTCGAGCCCCAGCATTGCCTCAGGTTGCGGCTGGCCAGGGAGGGACAGCAGGAGATTGGCTCCAGGGCATGTACGACCCCTCTTGCCCAGTCCCACCCCACTGGCCATCTTCTAATTAATTTCCTTTTAATATGCACGAATCCATGCATCGGGCCTCTAGTATATACTCCAACACTGCAAGTATGTATATAAAAAGAAACAAGCAGCATAGTAATCTGCACACAAAGATTTATTGTCACCTGAGGAAATGTCAGCACGCAGCCCCCTACACACAGAGATTTATGTGAGTGAATATTTCCCCTTCTTCTGTTGAAGGAGAATAGGTCCTTTGCCTTATATTTTCTGACCTTGTGACTTTACGCCATCGTAAATACCCTGTTACATGCTGGCTTTTTTCTAGAATGGATCAGTATTCTAAAAAGTGTTAAGGTACTAAATACTGGATGCTAATCTTAACTTTATTTTTTATTTATTTTTTCTTTTTTCAAATTAAAGAGTCACATTTATTGCAGTCCGGGACTATGAGGGGCCATTCCCCAAATCTCATAGCAACAAGATGGTCAAAGCTCCAAGGTTATATAGGCAAAAAATCACAAAGGTATTGATTACATCCCAGGGTTTGGAATGAGGAACCTGGTTCACAAAAAAAAAAAGCAGTTTACAGAAGTGGAATTAAGCACGTTATCTAAATTACAGTTTTGGGTCTAAAGCCCTTGGATAACCTGGGTTAAACTTAGGCATGTTATCTAAATTACAGTTTTGGGTCTAGAGCCCTCTGACCTTGGGATAACGGTGCTGTCCTTCCCAGGTAAAGGAAAATGTGCTTTCTAAGACCAGTATGACCACAACCCATGGAATATTCACATTACAATCAATCGAATGGGATGATTTATACAATTCAGAAAATCAAAGTAACTTTTCTATTGTTAAGAGTTCCTACAGTTACCAAGTGCCCGAGTGCCACGGTCCCCGTCAGTACTGTCCTCACTGAAGTCCAGTTCCCCTCCTGTGGGCGTTGAGCCTCCTCCTGGATCTCCTGGGTGAGGCCGCTGGCTGCCGGGATCAAGGCCATTTCCTGGTGCAGGAGCTGGGAGTGGTGTAGCCAGGTCTGAATGCTGTCAGCAGGGCAACAGTGTATAGTTCTTTCCAAGTTGGGGTGAGTCCTTGGATCCTTACCCACACTGAGTCCCCAGGCTGGAAAGGATGTACAGGGTTCGAGGTGGGCACTGGCAGGGCGTCTTGAACAAGCTTATGGGTGGCTCTCTGGGTATACTGCAGAGCCTGCAAAGACTCTAGAGGATTTTCAGGTGACTCCGATGAATTTTTTTTTTTTTAGGGACGAGCCAATGTCCCCTGTCCACTAGCTGGATCCGAAGGGGAGTTCTTTGGGGCCCTGGAACTTCTCAGGGTGCGCACCCCCTAGAGACCCCTCAGTCTCCACAAACGGCTCAGGGAAGTTCGGCCTCCCTTTGTCGCTAATCTTAACTTTAAAACGCACATTCTGCTCGTTTGATCTAGTATTTTAAGAGTTGGGTGAGGCCATAAATTGCCAGGAATTCATGTAGCAGTAGAGGATTTTTATGCAGGCTCATCCTCCTGTCTTTTCTTTTTCTTTTTCTTTTTTTCCTATAATTATGTGGTTTGGTATATATTTTTGTAATTTTTTAAATTTTCAGTTACAGTTGACATACAATATTATATTAGTTTCAGGTGCCAAACAACATAATGATTAGATATTTTATACCTTCTGAAGTGATAACCCAATAAGTTTAGTTCGTATCTGACACCACTCATAATGATTACAATTGACTATTTTCTTAAAACACCGTCTTTTCCTCTCTAGTCACTTGTTTCCTCTCCTGCCACACTTGTTTTCTCCCCACACCCACCTTTGAGAAAGCACTGAGATTGCTCCAGATGTTCTTGTAAATTATCGTCCCTCTGTTATAGATGAGGAAACTGAGACTCATAATAGTTAAACAACTTGTCAGTAAAATGCAGAGCTGGGATTCCGGTTTGGGCGACCTTGGCTCCGAAGTCCATTATCTTTTCGCTACAGTTATCTCTCGGCCACCAGCGTGCTTTACCTAGACTGTGAACTTTCCTTTATTCTTGTCCTCTTCATTCCCAAAGCACTCGGCTGTATTGTTCTAGCCAGCCCTTTCAGCATTGTGAGCAAGAGTCTGAGAGGTTCCTTGTCTTGGACTCGGCGTTCATACTTCCACCTCTAGCCTGAGGAGTCACCACCCTGGACACGGTCAGGGCCCCACTGATGGATGGGAGAACTCAAAGGTCCATAAGGAGAGTCCTGCTGAGGCCATATGGACTTCAGACTTTGGTGTGCACAGAATCATGGAGGGAACAGGCTCAAGATACCGAGCCCAACCCTGCCCAGAGAAATGCTGATTCAGACCTGCTCAAGGGTTTATAGCGAGGTAGCTGTGTGCTCAGGTTCCCCAACAAGGCTTCAATTTTTGTCCTGGCCTCGCCACTGCTAAGCTTTGCAACCTTGGGCTGATTGTGTAACGTCTCTGTGCCTCCGTTTCCTCATTTATAAATGGAGATAATATTACTATGCAATTCATAGTTTTTCTGTGAGAATTAACCGCAATCGTAATACCTGCAAAGTATTTCACATGGTTCCTGGTACATAGTGTGCACTTAATAGAGGTCAACCATTCTTTGATACTACAGTTTGTGAGCCTCTTTCTTGGGCAAAATCAAAGCTCTAGTTCGGACTGCATCCTCCTCAAGAAAAGTAGAAGAGTTCGAGTTCTGAGTTCTCCCTCTCTGCCCCTGGCAATCACGCACTCCCCACAGGCCCCAAAGTCAGTTAATTTTCAATTTGGTTCAATCCCAAAGTTGCCTACTAAGAAGCTCCCCCTCAGGGCTACTTTGAGGCTGGAGAACCTCAAAGCTAGGGCACCTATCCCCCAGTTTTTAACATAAATGACTGGAGAACCCACAACTTACGAAGACTCCAGAGACACTTTCTTATTCACAAGTACCGCATATTTGGCAATTCTGTATTAAGTACCTACTATGTGCTGGGCACTGTTCTGGGTGCATAGTACCCCGCCCTATGTGAGTATATAATTTAGTGTACAGTAGACGAGTACATCAACAAAAACAGTATACCTGGAAATCATGATGAGTTCTATGATGGCTGAACCAGGGATCAGTGATAGAGAACAATGGGAAGCGACACCAAAGGGCAACATAGGGAGAAACTCTGAGGAAGGGACACCTAACCTGAAGGCTGAAAGAAAAGCAGCTGGTGAGGGGGATGGGAGAGGATGGCTGACACTATCTTGGCCTTGACAGGGTAGGAAGACTTTACCTGCGGGAGATGAGAGTGCTTGGAGGCACTAGGGAAGGCACGTGGGGCTGGAGCACAGGAGGGAGCAGAACAATCCAAGATCTCGTCCCAAGTGAGGCAAGCTTTGTGGGCTCTGCTAAAATCCTGAGGTTTTATTTTTAAAAAGAACTGCTTTAAGTCTTCTGTGCAAAATGGCACCCACATCCTGCTGGCCCCACGATTAAAGAATCATGAACAGAATGCTTGTCCCGCACCCCCCTTTCCCTTCTCTGAATCCCTTTTTAAATGACATCACCTATCTCAGGCCTTGGCAGTGGAGGTATTCACTTACCTGAGCCCCTCTATGCAACACAGAAAATTATTCTTCTTGGATGTGGTTATTGGGAATGTTCCCTATTTCTCATTTTATTTCCCATTTTGTAACCATTGAACATTTGCCTAGCTAGTTCTCTTGCATCAAATCTACACCTCCAGGCAAAATGAGAGCCTGCATGTTAGCTTAGAGTTTGATTTCTGGTTAAATGAAGCTCTCAGAGCAGTAAATAACCTTGTCTCTCCTTGCCGGACTTACAGACTAGACCAGGGGTGGGCAACCTTTTTGTGAGTGTGTGCCAAAACCAGCAAAATCTCTGACTCAAAATTCTTCTGCGTGCCAACCCTAATTTTTTGAGAACATGTTACGCCTACTTGATATCTCTTAAGGCATACGTATTGAACAAATAATAAAATTCATTCGAACGACAAAAACCCAGTATATGATGATGAAAAATACATTTATTTTTTAATGTATACATGTACACTGATAGTCTGGCAGCAAACTTTATGACTCTGTTTGATATTATCAGTGGGACTTTTGCTGCCAAGAGAAACATAGAGATTTATTCCCCTTTCATTAATACTGGTGGGCAAAGTGAGAGAGGTGGTTTCATTTTTATAGAGTGAAATTTTGAATAAGTAGGTGAGGCAGTTGTCTTGTCAATGAAAACCCGTTGCGTCTGAGGCTGAAACCAAAACACTGGTCGGATCTAGGAAGGCAGGGAGAGTTAAGGCAGAGGCATAGGAATTGCTCTTCCCCTCTCTCGTCAATCCATGTCTATGGTCTTTAAGATAACTTGTTATGTAAAATTATTTATTTATCTAAGATGCACCTACACTGAATTCATCTGAAAAATAAAAAAGTCGATATTAAGAAAAAAATTGTAAATGGAAGATTATAAGAGAGGGTTTCATGTGCCAGCAAAAGTTACTGGTGTGCCATGTTTGGCACGCATGCCAGGGGTTGCCCACCCCTGGACTAGATGCTAACAGCCTTTTGAATCTGTAGTAAGGTTTTCAAAGACCAGAAAGCTGAACTAATTTCAGAATGAGGCATGACCATGGTGACACCCTGTGTTCATTTTGAGTAACAGCTACCAGTATGAACCTTTTCCCTCTACCTAAAGAAAATTAAAGATGTTAAATGTGAAAACATCCTTTATGCACTCAGCCCATTCTTAGGAACCTTATTTTTCCTATAATTGGTCTCCACCTTCCCAAGTAAAAAAGAATATCAGTTCAATTCAGCGGGCCTAAGAAGTAGGGGCAGCAATGAACTGTCTTTCAACCACCAAGCCTTAGTGTTCTCATCAGTAAAAGTAGAAGTTTGGGTTCTTTTCAATTCTAAAATCCCAGGAGCCTGTGATGAGAATTGGAGATCTGGGTTCTAGTTTTGCCTTTGCCTTGCCTTTGGAGGTCCAGTCACTGACCTTCACTAGGTCTCCAGGTCATGGAAGAGGTGAAGGATTGGAGTCTGCTCTCCTGGTCACTTTTTAGCTACTTTAAACACGTAACTTTCGAAATTTTCACCCAACTTCACAGACTCGACAGAGTCACCATTGCAATTTATCTAAGTCGCTGGCAGCCCCATGCATGGCTCTCAGGCTGGTGCAGCTTCCATTGCACTGTGGTCTCTGCCCCCAAAAGAAAGGGCATGAGTGACAAAGGCCAATCAGGAACCAGAGGAGATTCAGACATGAGACCACGGGTGCAACTTGGGCTTTCAGACACCACCTCATCCAGCAAGCCTGGGAACCAGGTCTGGGATCCGCTGACACTGTCTTGGCCTTGATGAGGGTACGCAGACTTTACCTGCGGGGGATGAGGGGCCTCTGAGTGCCTTGCAGTCCCTGAGACTTATTAGTCTATGAATTTCTGATCTCCTGGCCCACTCTGGCACATCAAAATAGCTCACATTTACTGGGCATCGAGTTTTTGACAGACAGTGTTTAAAACACTTTATATGCATTAACTTGTTTAATCTTCATTACAACATTCCCTGGAATGTAATCATTCTCCCTACCTTGCACTTAAAGAAATCTAGTATTAGATTTCCTTATAATTAGTGTCTGTAAGGCAGGGAGAGTAATAACTAGTCTGAGACCACACAGCTCCCAAGAGGGATTCCAGTCCAGGTGGCCAGCTCTGCAGCCTGGGCTCTCGGCCGCCTTCCAATGCCCCCGACACCACAGCTGTCGCAGAGTATGTGCTCAATGCATACATGTTGAATGAATCAATGTTGTATAAATGTTCTAATGAGTAAAAATAAAACTCACTTCAGACCCCACTGAGGAACATCCCTGGGCTCCAGACTCCTCTAGCACCTTCCCTTTTTTTCTGAATCCCAAGTGATTCTCGGACAGCAGCTCTACGGGAGACCCCTAGGGGTTTTTCCCCTCCATGTCTACAGAGCACTCTTGGCTACTTTTGAAGAGTGAGTCTCACCCACAACCTCAACCCTGCTCGTTCAGACTTTACCAGTTCC